TATTTCATGCTGCTCTCATGGCAAAGCAAAAGGCTTCCCACAATGAGTCCAAAATGGTGAATTAGGGCCGACAATTGTCTCCCAGAATCCTTCTGGCTGGACTGTCATCAGTCAGAATAGGGAACAAGGCCGGTTTGAACTCACACTGGAACAGCAGTCCACGGCACTGGTCCACAGAAGTGAAAAAATCTGTCAGGTAAAAATAAAGGTCGAGTGGGAGGGAGAAGAAAATGAGCTGGTTCCTTTGAGATACCTCAGCAAGGGCCTGGATACCTGGAGGGCCCAGCCTAGCCGGATCTCGTCAGATCTTGGAAGCTAACCAGGGCCAGCTCTGGCTAGTACTTGGATGGGAGACCTGTAAGGAATACCAGGGTCGTGACATGGAGGCAGGCCATGGCAAACCACCCATGAACGCCTCTGGCCTTGAACACCCCATAAGTCAGGTGTGACTTGATGGCACTTGCCACCCTCCCATCAGCAGGGGAAGATGATCTACGTGAAAGAAGAGGGTGAAAAGCTACTTCAAGGGTCTCCAGCCTTTCTGAGCCCGTGGGCACCTTTGGCATTCCAACACAGGGTGGTGGGCACAGCCACGAAATGACCACCACGGGAGGTGTAAACACACACACACACACACGGGAAGCTGGGGGCAGGAGGAGTAATTACAAAAAATGCACTGAGAAAAAGGGGCGTGAGAGAGTACAAGAAGAAGAAGAAGTGTTGGTTTTATACCCTGTTCTTCACTCCCTGAAAGAGTCTCCGAGACACCCGGTGAGCAATGCTCCCTCTAAGCTGTGGAGTCTTGTGAGCAAAAGTTCTACTTTGTAAGCTGCTGGCATTAAAGGTGTGAACGAGTGATTTGGCTACCGCCTAAATTAGCTTGCTCTGGAGCCCTCCTTCCTGAGCTAAGACAAAAATGTGTGAGCCGGAGGGTAAAAAACGGTGAGCCAGCTCACACTACCTCGGCTTAGAGGGAACACTGGTCCTGTGAGGTAGGCGGGGCTGAGAGAGTTCTGAGAGAGAACTGTGACTGATCCAAGGTCACCCAGCTGTCTGTCTGTGGAGGGGTGGGGAATCAAACCCAGTTCTCCAGATTAGAGTCTGCCAGTCTTAACCATGAACACCGTGGTGGTAACTGCTGCCAAACGACCTTATTTTTCTGTGCGCAGCCAGTTAGATCGCCGAAGAGGAGCCCTGCTGGGCGGGAGCCCCGCCTGGCCCCGCCCACTTCCCAAGGGCACTCCCTGGGTGGCAGGAAAGGTGTCGAGGGGGGGGGCCATGGCAGCCAGGGGCACCACTTTGGGGACCCCACCCACTTGCAGCAACTGAGCAGACTTTAAAATTTAAGACTGCGAATTGCTTCAAAACACATTGTCTTGGATCCCAAGAAGTCTCTGGAAGGCCTCTTTGCTCATATGGTGGGCTTCAACTATTCTAGTAGTTCCTTTGCTCCCCCCCCCCAAAAAAATCTTGTACTGCAGCCTTGGGGGGGGGCACCAGAGCATCTGTTGGAATACGGGGACCACTGCCCCCAGCACAGGTAGAAAGGCCATCCGCTCACACAGCAAGACCCTGACCCCCAGTTCCTCCGCAGGTGGTGTTTCTATAACTCTTGACTGCTGATTGTTTAAAAACAAAGGAGAGGAGAGCAATAACAGTTAACTAAGCAAAGACGTTTTGCAGATTTACATTAACGGAAAGCCCTCCCAATGCATTTTGCCACATTAAAAATTGAAATGCTAACAAATTAGTTCCCTCTTGAATAACTTCAGCGTAGCTAATATGAAAAACATACCAACTTCAAAGTTTATACATCTGTAACAGATTATAAAAATAACAACCTTCGATTTAAGAAAATCTTTTGCATTTTTCAGTCATGAACTTTTTCGGTGAGGAGACCACAAACTGCAGTCCTTGCAACAGCTAATGTGGCATGTCAAGGGGTCCCCAAATATTCCGTAGTAATTTGGTATGCACCATTATTGCGGTGATAATAAAGGAGACATTCAGTATTCATGTAGATGTTTCATCCAGTGCCATTGATGTTCAATTTAGCGTTAGTTAATGGGTACTTAAAATGTTACCCAAATGATTTAGATCACAGCACAATTTAGCTCTTTTCCAGACTATAAGCACAGAACACTTTTTTAATACGTAACACCACAAAATAATGAAATAAATGCATCTTACCTTCTAAAAGTGTTTCGGTTGTTAAGCTGGCAAACATTAAGAGGCCTGTGATGTTAAATCACTGGCATGCTGAACTAACAGGGGCTAAGGAAATGGATGGATACAACTTAGAGTTTTGAAAGGCAAAAAGAAAAGCAAGGCAGTTGTACTTACTTTACAAAAAAGGGATCATCGGGCTGTGTACGGAATGTGAGGTCCCAGCAGGATGGCCACTTAAACCAAATTTGGTTAATACGTCATTTGCTTGTAATCATCTGAGATTTCTACTTATGCTAAACAGCCACAAAGGAGCCCGGCATGCAATCAAAAGCTTCTTCAGCCATTGGCACTGTTGAAGAGGCAAGCCACATTTTCAGTGGAAAAGTGGCTTGCCTCTTCAACACCGCTTCACACAAAATGTGAATGGTTCACTGGGCACATGTGTATCATTCCACTGGATGTTCTCTGTTCTCTTTACCTGTCCCAACAATTTTTTCCTCCACAAGCAAAAAGGGCATTTCTTTGGTTCCTGGCAGAGCCATTGATTTCAATGGAACCTGCTTTTAGCAGGGGTCACAATTTTAATCTGTACCGTATGCGCGACAGTTCTGAAAGTCACACAGTTACAGCCACAGTACAGAGAACCAAGCAGTCTGGCTAATGCTGGGTGTGCATGTTACTTGATGACTCCGCATTGGGTAACAGGCAAATGGATTCCACTTTGACCTGGACCTTCTACTGGTCTGTCCTGTCCCATTCCCACCAGGGTGCTCCTGCTGCAAACTGACAACATGCCTTGGTCCAACCCAGTCTGGCCTCTGCAGAGGCTCCCCAGTCCACCCCCCATGGCAGTGCTGCCGTGCATGCCCCACGGCCATGCATGCCGCATCTGAAGCATGGCTTCCAAAAGCAATTTGCGATCTAATCTAGAAGGGGAGGGGCAGAAGCCCAAATGCCAAGGAGGCACCAAACTCTGGGCCACAGTGTGGAGCCAGGGCTGGCGTCTGCACACCCACCCAGCACATGCTCCGCACCTCTAAGGCCGTATCGCTCCGGCATGGGCTTCTGGCCATCCACGCTTGCTATTAAGCCATGCCATCCAGACTACATTTAGGAAACAGGAAAGATCACACATGCGCAACAGGTGGCTTGTGAAAACAAGCCAAGCCTGTGTGTCGGGGTCCTTAACTTCCTTTGTCCCTGTGGGCACCTTAGGAATTCTGACACAGGGTGGTGGGGGCAACCACAAAATGGCCACCGCAGGAGGTGTGGACACAGACAAAGACACACACACACACACACACACACAGCCTGGAAATGTAGGGAACAAGAGGAGGAATTTTTAAAAATACCCTGGGAAAGACAAGACGGAGAATAGAACAAACAATATGGGGTCAGCTCGTGCTGAAACAGGATTATTCTAATCTGCACAGCCAATGAGATGTCCAGTGGACAATCAGAAGCCCCAGCTGGCCACTCCCACTCTCTAAACATGCTTGGGGGGTGTCAGGAAAGGCGCCAGTGGCTGCCACAGCGCCCACAGACACCCCATGGTGGGCCCCTGCCGGATCAGTTCCACAGGGAAAGGATTCCGCATTGGGGGGGGGGGCAATATTTGTCCACCCTGAGTGGCTCAGCACATTTCCTATTGACTTATTTTTAATACACATTTATGTTAATATTTTATGGTATTGTTTTATTTGTGAGCTGCCTTGACTAGGGGTGCCTGGAGAGGTGGCATATAAATTCTGCAAATCAAATCTAATTTAAAAGAACCACACATGCACACTGGAAAAAGCCAGGTCCTCTCACACCGAGAGGCCCTGCCCTTCCTGGCCCTGTTTCTGGCTTGCTGTTGACCTCCTCTGACGCCCCCGGCTCCTGCTCATCTTTGTTTCTGGGGGGAATCCAAGGTCCTGCTGTTGACCTTTAAAGCCCAATATGGTTTGGGACCAACATGCCTGAAGGACTGCCGAGTCCCTTATGAACCCGCCCAACCAGTGTGGTCATCTTTGGAGGCCCTGTTTTCTGAGATCAGGCAAGCAGCTACCCAGGAGGACGGGGCCTTCTCAGTTGTGGCACCACAGGTTGCCCTGTTCTATTGCCGACCTTTGCCAGCGGGTGAAGAATTTTTTTTTTGTTTCATTTGGTGTTCCCTCAGTCATCCCTCCTTCCTGCGCCTGTTTGAATTGTTGTTTTTATACTTTAACTGTTTTAATGATTTTTAGTTGGGTTCAGTGGTTTTAAATATGCTTTTATTGTGTATGTTTTGATATGTCAGCTGCCTTGGTGACCCTTACAAGAGTGGAAAGGCAGGCTGTACATTTTGTTTTTTGTTTTTTAAAAAAAAACACAAGATACGAACATGGCCATATCTAGACAGTGCATCACTAATTATTAAGAAAGCAAAATCTGAGAAAAAATGGTCTCTCACGATTAAAAAAAATACTAATCTGTTTTTCTTATGGTATTTCTCAGCCAGAGAGAGAGAGAGAAGAGAGAGAGAGAGAGATAGTCAGCATAAATTAAGGGCAGAGGAAGAGCACGTGAAGTTTAACATGACTCTGCCAATTTCATAATTTTTAATATTTTGAAATGAATCTGGTCCTCCAAGACTGAATTGAAGGGGACATCATAGTTTTAGTTCAGCTTTCATTATTTTAGGAGTAAATACTCAGTGTCGTAATATGGTATCTAATTAGTTCTAAAACTGCAGCTATTAAATTTTGCTGAATTAAACCTCTGTGGCTCCAACACACCTGTTTTCTCCCTCATTAGCCCAGCTGTGAGAGATGATGGATAAAAAAAAGAGAGAAGGAAAAATCACCCACCTCCGAGTGCTTTCGCCAAATGTCTATGTTCTTTCGCTGAGCTTTCGAGAAATGGTCCCAAGCTTTTTGTCTGGTGGAGGCGTTGAAAACGGCCACAATCTGCTCAACTTTGGTGAACAAGGAAGTCAAACAAGACAAGCAATTTATGTTGTGGTCACGAGAGAAAAGCCAAGCAAAGACACTTGGAGGCTATGGATGCTGCCGCTGTGGAAGCAGCACCATCAGTAGCCATCCAGTCACGTGTCTTTCTGTACTTACATTGTAGAATTGTTGGAGATGTCTCCCTTCAAGACTGGTCAAGTCTACACAAGTTACACAGATGGACTGGCATGTAGTTCTCTAGGCACAATCATTATTTCACATTTGTGGCTGTTAATCTGAGTACACAGGTCTCCCAACCTGAGGAAGGAGACACAGAAGGCAAAGCTGAGAAGCCACCTGATCTGTCTGAGGCGTAAAGGGGTGGTGGGGTGGGGGTGGGGGAGATCTGGGCCCAGACCAATTGTGAGCGGGCATTCTAGTTACCTCCCTGCTTTACGGATGGCTTCTAACTTTACATTCTGTGTCAGGAAACATTTTCTGTAAAGTTGTGATCCTGCACAATAAATCTGTAAACTGCAGAGCCATTTCTTGAGTCTGTGATTTCACAGGTCAGTTTGAGAATCACATGGGTTATATTGAGATATTTGCACACAGGATAACAATGAAGCATGAGAATTATCTTTGATCTCCAGATTAAAATTATATGTTTATTCCCATATTAAATTTCTGAGTCAAAGGAGGACTCTTGCGTTTGGCAACCGAGTGACACGGTGCTCGGGGCCATCGGGTTTTGTGGTTTGCTCTGGAATGTTGCAGCTCACAGAATTATTGGGATGTGTGGGGGACTATTATTTATTCCAATCATTCCACATAAAACACTTGTCCATGTATTCAGGAAAGTTCTGGACTCATCTTGGAAATTAGCTGTCTATTAGCTTCCCTGACACATATCAGAATTCATACTATTTTCTGAAGTAGTCACAGCCGTACACCCTGCTGTTGAAAAAAAATGGAGTGCCAGGATCTGCTGAATCACATTTCTTGTGGTCTGATTCATAACAAAGACAAATCATCCCAAATACTTGGGTTTAGGATACTGAAGTCACTAGAACGTGATCTGACTCTAGAGTTGCGGTGCTCATCTCCGTTTCCAAGCCGAAGAGCCAGCGCCGTCCAAAGACATTTCCATGGTCATGTGGCCGGCATGACTAAACGCCGAGGCACACGGAACGCTGTTACCTTCCCACCGAAGTGGTACCTATTTATCTACTTGCAATTTCTTGCTTTCGAACTGCTAGGTTGGCAGGAGCTGGAACCAGAGACGGGAGCTCACTCCGTCGTGCGGCACTCGGGTCTCGAACTGCTAAACTACCGACCTTCCAGCCTGCAGTTCAGCGTCTTAACCACTTGAGCCACCGCAGCTCCTAGGACGTGATTTAGAGAATGTCAAAAATCTTCTCTCATAGTTGGATTGGCAATTGGGATCTTAAGAAATTTTGTTTAAATTTTCCCAAAGCAAAACAATCTGTGCTGCCCCCTTACTTGATAGTTCACAGGGATAATTTGCTTCTCCTGCAGACATTCAGGGCTTCCCAACTAGGTTTTGTTTATTTCAAGTTGCTGAATGTGACAGTCTGCTAAATCCTGCCTGGTATTCAGGCTCCCTCCAACCAAGAACGAAGTGTTGCAGTCTCTCATTCCCCTTCTCCAGCTGGGACCTTAAGCTTTGCTGAATCATGTCCCTCGGTGGATGCATCTCCCAGGGAAATTATCCTTTCCGAGGCCCAAGCTTGGCATCTTTGCAGCAGGAGCTAGGAGCTGACAGCCAGTTCCAAGGAGGAGAGACTGCTGCTCCTCAGATCATCAGGACCAAAGGAATGATGACCAGCATGGCTACAAAGGGCTGGTCCAGACACGGTGGCAATCAAGCCACACGGGTGCAGGGGTGCCATCTGAGCAGGCCGTCCAAGCTCCAGCTCCCCGGCTGAAGCTCCTGGGCACATAAAGAGCACCTTTGCATGGGGCGTCTGGGAGGCCTGCAGAACGTGGGGTTGGACTGAACTGGGTGAGTGAGGCATAGCCCCCCCCCCCATCCCGATAGCAGCGCTGCGTTCAGATGCTTCAAAAACAACAACACAACCACTGCAACAGGGGCCCCCAACCTTTTTGAGCCTTTGGTCACCTCTGGAATTCTGACACAGCGTGGTGGGTGCAGACACAAAGTGCCTGCGGCAAGAGGTGAAGCCAGTCACCCAATGGCGGCAGCTGCTGCCAGAGCGGCCTTTTAAAAAATCTGCACAGCCAATCAGAAGCCTTGCTGGGCAAAAGCCCCACCTGGTCCCACCCACTTTCCAAAACCCCTTGGTGGGCACCAGGGAAAATGCCAGTGTGTGCCATGGGCACCAGCCCGAGGACCACCACCACCACCCCGCACTGCAACAAAAGCAAGAGTGAAGCCCTGGGCACGCTGACCTGATAGTGTGGGATTCTACCTGACAATGTATAGGCAGAATGGGCGACATGCTCTGGAGTCAGGTTTTGACAGGTGAAGTTAGCTTTGAGTCTCACCTTTCCTTCAACGAGCTCTCTCTTGTGTGGGTTCTCCTCTCCTCCACTTTAGCCTCAAAGCAACCCTGTCTGAAAAAGAGTGAGTGGCCCCAAGGTCTCCCACTGGCTGAGTGTGGATCAGAACTCACGTTTCTTTCCCTGTTCCTAGCCCAACTACCTGTTATGTCTGGACATCTGCAATCTTCCATTCAGGCTTAGCTGCTGTGAGTGCTCGTAGCCAGCATAAGAGGCATGCCTGGACTTGTCTGGCAGGCCACCTAGATGGAGAGTGGGGAGCCATGCCTGGGCTGGGCAGGCCACCTAGATGGAGCTTGAATCCCCAGAACAAAGGCAGGCAGGATCCTGGAACCTGCCTGCAGATTGGCCCTTGAGGGCAGCCAGCCAAGAAGGCCATTTGAACTCACCAATCACATGGGGGCTGGGAGGGGCTTAGGTGTATATAGTGAGGGCCGTTGCCCCATGTAAAGCATTCCTGTTGAGATGCAATAAACTGCTGCTTGTTGAAATCACTCAGCCTTCGCCCCTATTTAGCACTAACCACCACACTATATGAGCCCTGTTCACAAGTCACAGTGAACGCATGCACATCCTGCACATATGCCTGTAGATTTCTTCGTTAGAAAGAGCCAAAGTGCATATTCACTCTACAAATAAAAGTGGGGGCCATCACTTGGATAGATGTGGGGTTTCAATGTTCAGCTGCACATGTGTTGAATGAATTATTCACTGCACATATAAACAAAAATCAAGTGTGCGCTGCACACAGATTGCATGTTCACTGCAGCTTGTGAACAAGTCTAGAACCTCTGCTCAAGTAATAACTGTGTGTACATATTTAAGAACTAAGAGACAGGCTTGCTGTTCACAGCCTGATGAAATTACCTGGAGGAAGGATGCATGATATGAAAGGTTTTTCATTAACAGGAGTATTTTATTAATGGTTTAGATTTTTAGTCATTATTCTGTTGTACCTACTGAAAGTGCAAAGAGCACTAAACTTAATCAGCAGTCTGGGTGTAATTAATTATCATGAGAAAATTCAAGTAAAAATATTTCTGGAGATGCAAGGAATGGGTGTTTTGGGGTTTTTTAGACGAAAAGGCGTTAAGTGGAATCACCAGGATTCTTAATCTGAAACTCTTGAACTCTGAAGTACCTGGTTTTTGAAAGAGCTGAGAATTCTTTCTACAGGTATTAGAATTAATTAAACTATGCCTCCTTATCTGATCATTCAACAAAGACTTCTTAAAGTAGAGAAAAATCATACAATAACAGTGGTATTCTAATTACTAGGGACTGATGGTTGTTATGATGTGTCCCCTCAGGAATAAGAGAAACAGACCCGATAGAGCAGACTCATTCCCTGGACCAGCTTCTGGATGTGAGAGAGCAGGCGAGCTGGTCTGCTCACTCATAACCTTCCCCAGGCGAAGACGGAAGGCCAAATAACTCTCCACTCGGCAGAGAGAAAGCCTACTTAGTAAAGCAGAGGCAGAACTGTTTATTAGGGATGTCCACTCTCTACTCGAAATGATGACAACTAGCCATTGTCCCTTTGAAGCTGGACTCAGCTAAAGTCACCGGCAGCTCCAAGCCCTAACCCAAACGCACTGGACTTTATCTCTTCTGTTCTCTGCATCCGGGTACAGACAAGGGCCAGCAGGCAGGCGACAGGTCAGTTCAGAGAGATAATTATGGGACAACGAAGTCGGGCTGCCAACTCTCCCTTGGGACATTTCTGGAAATTTGAGGGGCAGAGCATGTGGAAGGCGGAGTTTGGGGAAGGAGGCCAAGGCGAATGTGGTGCCACAGGAGGATCCACCTTGGGAAGTGGCCACTTCTTCCACAGGAACTGTGGTCTGGAGTTCAGCTGCAGGCCCCACCTGGAGGTTGGCAATGCTAAAAGGAAAGGATTCCAGATTTCTTTTCTTTTTTTACTCTTAAGTGTACCATTGTATATAAAAATATGCATGAAGTGTCCTGGATGAAAGTGCAATAGCAAGTGCGAATCACGCATTTAGTAAACATCTGTGGAATTTTAGGCAGTCTTCATGGTATATATTATGCTGTGTTTATTGCGTTGTTCTCTGATTTTGTAATCTCAGAGGGGCTATTCCCAGAGGCACTCTAGGAAGCAGTGGTCTGCCCCCTCTTGAAAAAACCATCTCTGGACCCGGCCGGCTATTTGGGCAAATTAATTGAGAGGGCAGTGGCAATACAGTTGTTGGGCTTTATGGATGACACTTCCATGTTAGATCCCTTCCAGTCCGGCTTTTGCCTGGGACACAGGACGGAGACGGCACTGGTCGCCCTCACAGACGACCTCTGGAGGCATCTGGATCAGGGCAGAATGGCAGTGCTGTTGTCACTGGACCTGGCGGCGGCGTTTGACATGGTCGACCATCAGCTATTGACCCACCCCCTCACCGACACTGGGATTCAGGGGCTTGCCTTGCAATGGCTCGTCTCCTTTCTCCAAGGTCAGGGACAAAGGGTG